CTCTTGAACATTAACTTACCAGTCATGGCATAACTGCACAAATTAATAAGCATAACGCAAATAAACGTATTTTTCTTGTTCTCCAAAAGGAAAATACTTCCTGTTGCGCACACCAAAAAAGTCAGTCCAAGACTAATGACATGGCACTCCGCTACTTAAATATTCGCTGCTAGTATTAGTGGAGAAAAATGCTGCACCTGCGCATAAGGCACATAAGGGAAATGAATGCAATACGAATATAGTAATCAGTCATTAGCGAACGTTGTTAATTAATAATAGTTTGTTAATAATTATGTATAACAGGATATCATAAAAATTAAGTTGGGAAATTTTTATTAAAATGTTTCTTACATACCATTATATTGGCTGGGCCGCAAAAATATTTGTTGTGGGCCACATATGGCCCGTGGGCCACAAGTTTGACATGTTTGGAGTAGAGGACCAACCTTTTTATAAGGAGACTAGTGTCCCGGTGCACAAATTCTTGCACATTGAAAGGAAATTAATTAGAAGAAATATTTTAATATCACTAATCACCCTTTCTCTATAATAGAAATGTCAACCAAACTCACGATTAACAATGACAGATCAAAACACACATGTGTGATTGGCCACAGTGAGAGCTTTATTTGTATCATGCATGTGCAAGTTAACTTAGCCTTTTATATATAGAGAATAAACTTGCTTAATTAGACCTGCTTTCTGATTTAGTTAAACTTTTTCCAGCCCAATGAAGCACCCCAACTTCTCTTTCAGGCAGTTGTCAACAACACAATAGTAAATATCAACACGAAGCAGATAATTATTGTAAGGCAGGTATCCAGTGGTTGTGTTTAACGTTTTTTGGTCCTGGGCTCAAGAAACTCCAAGGAGGCTACTCACTAGGGAGAGGAAAACAGGCGTTGCTACCTGACATCATTACCCGGTGCCCACAGTGACTGTTTCTGGGCTGGGCTAGGCTGTGAGTGCATTTAGTGCCATGGGGTCTTGGCAGCGTTGGCTGTGACTTGGTGGGCTGTCACTCTGAGGTGGTGGTGGGGCCTGTGTCCCACTTGGGGGAAGCTGACTGTTGCTTTGTGGGCGCCAGGTCCACAGTGCTGTTTCTTTGTAAATGGCCAGAACTTGTCACGGCAGCTCCTGCATTGAGCATCTGCCCCTGGTGGTCAGTGCGCATCATAGTAAATGGTTAGAGGGACACTTAGCATATTAGCCTTTTATATCTATACTAATAAAAGGGTAATATGCTAATTTGACCAGACATCTTCCGGACATCCTTCCAGACAAAGCCATGTGTGGATGTGAACCATAGAACTAATCAGCCATCTCAGCAGGATATGGCCGGTTTGAACTGAAGGGGATAGGGACAGGACAGCGTAAAGGAAGGCTGTCAGTAGGATACCATAGATTAGCAGTTCTCAACCTGTGGGTTGTGACCCCTGAAAATACATCCTGCATATCAGATATTTACGATTCATAACAGTAGCAAAATTAGTTATGAAGTAGCAATGAAAATAATTTTATGGTTGGGGGTCACCACAACATGAGGAACTGTATTAAAGGGTCGTGGCATTAGGCAAGTTGAGCTTTTTCATGTGAATGTGTGCTGTTCTTCATAACAAGATTTTAAAAAAAAAAAAAAGGCCTGGAGGTAACTAAGAGCTAATCAGGGCCACCACCACCAAGGTTTTAGGGCAGACAGCCTCCAACAGAGGCAATGGAGGTAAACCACCTAGAGCTATGAGCTGTGGTGTGGTCAGGGCCCCAACAGAGAGCCGGGCATGAGCAGCACTCTGCCAAGCTGTAGGAGTGATGTTGCCACACCAGTGGGTCCAGAAGCCAGAACATGAAGCCAGACAGGAGTGTTCTAAGATCTCATTGAATTTTATAGGTTTCGAGCTTGCTTGGGACCTGTCACCTCATCCTTCTTTCCTGTTTCTTCCTTTTGGAATGGGAGTGTATGTCCTAGGCACTTCTCACCATTGTGTTTTGGAAGTGCATAACTCGTTTGGTTTCAGAGGTTCACAGCTGGAGAGGAACTTTACCTCCGGAGGAATGATACCTTGAGTCCCAGCCATATCTGATTTAGATGATATTGAGAGGAGACTTTGGACTTTAGAGTCGATAGTGGCATGAGTCAAGACTTTTGGGGTTGTTGAGATGAAAAGAATGTATGTTGCATGAGAGAAGGACATGAATTTGGGGGAACAGAGATAGACTGCTATGGTCTGAATATTTTTGTCCCCGCCCCCAAATGCATATATTGGAATTACAATGCCCAATATGATGGTGCTAGAAAGTGGGGGTAGGAGGGGCCTTTGGAAGGTGACTAGGTCATAAAGGCAGATCCTCCACGAGTGGAATAGTGCCCTATAAGACAAACCCAGAGAGTTCCCTAGCCCCTTCTTGACGATGCAACAAGAAGTCTACAACTCAAAAGAAAGCTCTCACCTGACCATACTGGCACCCTGATCTCAACCTTCCAGCCTCTAGAACTATGAGAAATACATTTCTGTTATTTATAAGCCACTCAGTCGGTGGTAGTTTATTATAGCAGCCAAACGGACTTAGACAGATCTTGTATTGGTGTTCTATTGCTGAGTAAAAAATTACCCCAACATTAGCACTTAAAACAACAAACATGGATCATATATACATTATGTAGGTCAGCAATGCATGAGTGGCTTAGCTGGGTGCTTCTGAGATCTCTCAAAGGCTACAGTGAAGGTGCTGGTCAGGCTGTGGTCTCACGTGAAGGCTTGACTGAGGAAGGATCAGTTTTCAAGTTCATTCACATGGTTATTGACAAGATTCGGTCCCTTACAGAATGTTGGACTGAGGGCCTCAGTCTCTTTCTGGCTATTGGCTGAAAGTCTCCCTTGGTTCTTTCCATGTTTGCTTCTCCATAGGGCGGCTCACAACGCCTAACTGGCTTCCATCAGATTGAGCAAGCAAAAGAGCAAGAGAGGGCACACAAGAGAGAAGCAACAGTATCTTTGCAGCCTAATCTCAGAAGCAGAATCCCATTACTATTGCCATATTCCATTCATTAGAAGTGAGTCACTAGGTTGAGCCCACCCTCAAAGGGAGAGGATTATAGAAGGGCATGGATGCTAGGAGATGGAGATCATTAGAGGCCATCCTAGTGATTGTCTACCACAAACATCAAAGCCATAACTTTGATTTTTTGCCTTAAGGCTATGTTGAAACCAGCCTTCAAATTCTCAAATTGGGGGCTCCGTTTTCCCTCTCAATTCAGTTCTTTTGTCCAAATATTTTTTGAGCTGATTTCTTTCTTATAGCAACTTATCAAATGAAGCGAGCAACAACCAACTCATATTGTAAACATTCTGCCTCAAAATCTCTGTGTCCAATGACCCAGGTCTGTTGGGTACTTTTTCTGTCTTCCACAGTCCTAGGAGACAGTTTTACTAAATGCATCACCTCTACATGCGCCACTGTTTGTCTAGCTTCCTGTAACAGTTTCTACACCACCTGTTGTTAGCCAGCCAATGTTTGTCACAGGGTTTAGGTTTTTATTAGGACAGTATCATACTTCTAGGTATCAATTTCTATATTATTCATATGCTACTGCATTAAATCCTCTACTTCCTTATATATCTTCTGTCTGTTTTATTATCATGAGTGAGTATGGAAGGCTCCAACCATTGTAGAACTGTCTACTTCTCTCTTCACTTCTGTCCATTTTGCTTCATATATTTTAATGGTCTGGCAGTAGATATGTAAATGTTTATAATTGTTATATCTTCTTGCCGTATTGAACCTTTTATTAATATTTAGTGTCCTTTTTCTCATAATATTTTTAAATTTAAAGTCCATTTTGTCTGATATTAGTATCACCATCCCTGCTCTCTTTTGGTTCCTATTTGCATGAAATATCTTTTCCATTCTCTCACTTTCAACTTGTTTGTATTTTGGTTCTTTTGAGTCTTTTATAGACAGCATATAATTGGATCATGTGTTTTTATCCATTCTGTGAATATCTGTCTTTTGACTGGAAAGTTTAATCCATTTATAATGAAAATACTTACTGATACAAAGGAATTACTTCTCTCACTCTGCTGTTTGTTTTCCATGTGTCTTACAGCATTTTTGTCACTCAGATCACATCACTGTCTTCATTTGTGTTTAGCTGATTTTTTTGTAGTGAAGTGTTTAAATTGCTTTCTCATTTCCTTTTGTGTCTATTCTATAGGTATTTTCTTTGTGCTCACTGTGGGGATTATGTTTAATATCCTAAACTTATAACACTCTAATTGTAACTTAGTCTGGCTTACCATCAATAGTGTACAAAAAGTCTGCTCTACAGCTGCAATCCCACCACTTCGGTTGTCAATGTCAAAAATCACATATTTATATACTGTGTGCCCCAAAACATACACTAATACTTTCTTTAAATGTATTAGTCTCTTAAATTATGTAGAAAACAAAATTCAAGGCGTGGCTCAGTGGTTGAATGGTTAAGTGTCTATCTATGAACCTTTAGGAGATTATGGTTTGATTCCCAGTCAGGGCACATGCCCAGATTGTAGGGTCCATCCCCAATAGGGGGCGTGCAGGAAGCAGCCTATGAATGGTTCTCTCTCATCATTGACGTTTCTATCTCTCTCTCCCTCTCCCTTCCTCTCTGAAATCAATAAAAATATACTTAAAAAACAATATTTGGACTTACAAACCAAAGTTACAGTAGTACTAGCTTTTACACTAATAATAGTGGGGGGTTTTCTTTAAATGTTAGTCACTTACCATGTAGAAAACAAAGTGCTGTTTCAAACTATTGTTGCAATAACACTAGCTTTTATAATTGTATTTACTGTTATACAATTGAATATACTTAATAATTGAAGATACTTAATTCTCCATATACCTTCAAGTTACTGCTGTTACCAGACTAAAAGGGTCCGTTTTTCCAAAAGCCCAATAAGACACAAACCTGAGTTTGCAGCAAAGAAAATAAGAGTTTATTTCAGGAAGTGGCTCTTGCCTGGAGACAGGTGAGCTAATGCTCGAAGACCTGGCTGGCTCCCTGATGGCTTCCAAGGGATGGGTTATAGAGGAGAGGGGAATCATTAATCATGACGATTAAGGGAGTTAGGGCTGTGGTCAGGGTTGTGGTCTCTACTGATTAGTCAGTGATAGGAGAAGAGATAGTTGATCAGTGCATCTGGCCCTGTTGTCATCCATGGCTGCTGCTTTATCTGGTTTCACCAATTTTATGGGCCTGGAGCTGAAACACAGTTGTGATCTAAGATTTTTTTTAAAATATATATTTTATTGATTTTTTACAGAGAGGAAGTGAGAGGGATAGAGAGTTAGAAACATCGATGAGAGGGAAACATCGATCAGCTGCCTCCTGCACACTCCCCACTGGAGATGTGCCCACAACCAAGGTACATGCCCTTGACCGGAATTGAACCCAGGACCCTTCAGTCCGCAGGCCGACGCTCTATCCACCGAGCCAAACCGATAACGGCTCCTAAGATTTTTTGATGCTGGTCAGAACCTCAGTGTCCTCAGGGCTTAATGATTATGGGAGTTTACCTGCAAGGGAGAGGGGGGCAGGTAAGTCAGGGTGCTGGGTGAGACAAGTTTGACTCAAAAGAAAGCAGAAAAAGTCATAGTAAAGAAATGAATTTTCTGCAAGGTTACACTGACTAGTGTCCTTTCATTTCACCTTGCAGAACTCCCTTGAAAATTTCTTGCAAGGCAGGTCTAGAGGTCACAAACACCCTCAGCTTTTGTGTTTCTGAGAATGTGTTCATTTCTCCCTAATTTTTGAAGGACTATTCTGCCCATTTTTTTCGCCCTTTAAGCACTGTAAATATATTGGCACACTGTCTTCTGGCCTCCAAAGTTTCTGATGAGAAATTTGCTAATGATTTTATTGAGAATCCCTTGCATGTAATTCCTCTTGCTGCTTCCAAGATTCTCTTTTGTTATTCTCTTTGACTTTGAAAGTTTGGTTGTAATGTGTCTTGATGTGGGCTTTTTTATTGCAGATATGTTTTTAAAGTCTTTTAAATTTAAGTATAGTTGGTATACAATATTATATTAGTTTCAGGTGAACAACATAATGATTTGACATTTATATCCCTTACAATGTCACCGTGCAAACCCATCACAGTATTATCTATAATAATAAAAGCATAATATGCTAATTAGACCGGACATCCTTCTGGACGACCTTCCGGATGAAGTCGCAGCGGCAGGGGCCAAGCCTCTTGCACGAATTTCGTGCATTGGGCCTCTAGTTGATTATATTCCCCTTGAACTTTTTACCTATCCTTCCAGCCCCCTTCCATCTGACAATTTTCAATTTGAGCTCTGTTTCTATGAATCTGTTTTGTTTTATTTGTAAAAGGTTTGGAGTGGGCCAGGTCACACACCTATGACATGAGCTGTAATATATCAAAAGGCTTTTATTTCAGGCGTCTGGGTGCAGATGGGCTGAGTCAGACAAAAAAGGAGTCAGTGGAGAATGAAGGGAGAGGCAGATTTTTATTACTCCTTTCTGGCTGCAAGCCATTCTGCTGACGTAAGGGTCCAGTCCGTCCTTAGTTCCTCCTATGCCAGGTGTCTTCTGGTTATCTGGGCTATGCCGTGCTCAAGGCTGCAAGCTTTCTGCAAGATATCTGCTAAGCACAATAAGTTTTCTCTGCCTCATTTTATTCTCTTTAACCCTTTCAGTTTGTTATTTGTTTTATTGTTTTATTTTTTTAATTTCTTTATTGGTTAAGGTATTACAAATGTGTCCTCAACCCCCATGTTATTTGTTTTATTTGTTTTTTAGATCCCATATATGTTAAGCCTTATGATTAACTGTCTGATTAACATTATTAAAATGATCATACTACCCAAACTAATCTACAGATTCATTGTGATCCTTATTAAAATACCAATGGCATTCTTCTCAGAACTAGCACCAATAATCCTAAAATTTATAGGGAATTGGTGTGGAGTTTTTTATTTCATCTTACTTGGAGTTCATTAAGTTTCTTGGATGTTTACATTAATGTCTTCCATCAAACTTGGGAAGTTTTCAGCCATTATTTCTTAAATCATTGACATTTCTGGGTTGCTGGCTCCTCCAGTTCTAAGGCTGAGTGTATGAGGCAAAAAACAAAACACAGGAAACTACTCAAGGTCATGTTACTCCTCTGCTCCTCAGATCACTCACCAGTTTGCCTTCTTTTTTACACCTTTTAAAGCCTCTTATATTTATTTTGTATATAATACCCAGTGTTTTTAGTTGTGCTTAGATAGAGGAATAGGAAAAGTACTTCATCTTCTTACAAATGGAAGCCTTAGGATGTTTTATGTCTGCATATATACTGTCCTTAGTGTATTGATTAAATGTTGAGTTTTTTAATTCATGTTTATTCTTTTTTAATGTTTTTATTGATTTTAGAAAGAGAGAAACATTGAGGTGAGAAATCTATATCAGCTAGCTGTCTCCTGCATGCTCCCCACTGGGGATTGAGCCCAAAACTTGGGAATGTTGATTTTAAATATTATTCTTTTACCTAGATAAACGCCAAGAAAAAACATCTGAGAACAAAGAAGGAAAGAAATTCTACCCTAGCAAGACATAAAAATGCCAGAGAAGAGAGAGAGGTAAATAAGTATCCATTGATCTGGTTGTTAGCAGCTTCTGAAAAAAATGTTTGCAAGAGAATGGCAAGTTATTTCCTCTTACACTTCCCATTCCCTAATTATTCCTCAGGAAAAATTAATGATTAAATATTTTCTCATCTTATTCACTGTTTATAAAAGCACAAAAGAACCTTGACAGATGAGAGGTGGTTCTTATTAGGTGTGATATTTATTTTTCACTTATATTTACCTTACTCAGAAAAGTATTTGAGTCATCTGATAAAGATGCATCCAGGATAGCAAAAAATAAATTAAAATTAAGAAAAATTAAATGGGAATACAAAAGTATAGATGGTGCGGGGAGGTTAGCTTCCACCATGGCAGAAGGGGAGCTCTGCAGACCCATTCACTAGCAAAAGTAGGTGAGAACTATTAAAAACAAGACAAAAAGCAACCATTTAAACAATGAGGTTCAAAGATTTCTTCCACAAAGAAGTCAAAAAGCAGGAGGCCAGTGTTGCCCCCGAGAGAAAGTAAGTGAAAGCTAGAGTGTGTGGCATTCCCTAGTTCTCGGGGTGCAGCCCCTGAGTTCTGTTGTACTTTTCATCTTTATTCCCAACTCTGAAATCTTTTATACTTTTATAGTTTTTATACTTTCCCATGTTTGGAAGACTACACGCCATACTTACCATTGATCATCTCTAGAATATGGAAACACATTCACTTTTCACTGCTTGCACCTCTGTTGTTTGAATTACTCAATATGTTATTGTAATTTTCTTATAATTTGTAAGAAGATACCCCAAAAAAGAATATTCTTTCTAATGGATTCAGCTACTTATCAATGAAAAAGTTGAGCCTTTTGGTCAAGATTAAGGGAGGATTGGGGAGTGAGTATTTCATGGAGACAGTGTTTCAGTTTGGGAAGATGAAAGAGTTCTGGAGACGGGTGGTGGTATTGGTTGCACAGCAGTAAAACGTACCTAAGGACATTGAACTCTACACTTAAAAATGATTAAGATGGTAAATTATATGTGTGGTGTATTTTATCACACACACAAAAGATTAAGGGATGATTTAAACAGTGAATTTACACTGGGTGCTATGAGGTTGAGCTAAAGACTAAAATCAAGCACACACAGATAGGGAAAACATGCTCAATAATGGAGCATTTTGAACACACTGAGCATTTTATAATAAGTCTTTATTTGTTATAAACACCCTGCCTCTCTGTCATCCCAACATTCCTTTCCCCATCACAACGAACATTCACACACTGATATGCTATGTTACTGTTGGCAGAAATGATTCAATATGGATTTCTAAAATTAAAATAACAACAAAAATAACGTCTCTAGAAATGGCCCTAAGAACATACAGCAAATGAAAAAAACATATATTTATGAAAATCTACAACTTGATTAAAAAACAGTGAAAGTTTGTGGTGGTTGAATCAACACTCCCTGCTCCCCTCCCCCTCCTTCCCCCTTCCTTCCCCTCCCCCCTCCCCCCTCAATGAGACTGAGACTGTAGACAAATTCAGCCCAGACACAGGGCCTCCTCTCCCCACAGATGAAAGTCAGAGAGCTGTCTCCGCAGGAAAGTTATTCTGTCTCCAATGCTGAAGCTACATTCCAGGTGAGTGCAGCCCATTTAGAAATGGGGGTTCCTCCTTCTACCCAGGCCCCATTCATGAAAAAGAGGCTCTATCTTGGGTGCCACATCACTGAGAATATTTTTGGCCCTAATCGCCCTTGCTTTGGCTCGTCAAGTGGTGGTTCCACACTGGAAAGGCGAATTTAGAGAAGACCAGAAACTACTGCCCTCTTCCCACCTACAGCTCAGCTCCTAAAGTGGGGTGAAGGTCATGGTCTCCACCCCCAGCTCCAGAGACACTCGGGTCAGAACCTTTGACTTGGGGGAGAACCAGATGAAACAGGTCCTAATCTCTCCCCCAAACAAGTGACTTAATTTGCAACAAGTCCTGGAGAAATTCAAGTTTCATGGCATTCTCAAAATCAATACAAGTATGGTAAAAGGCATTGGGAGGGGATTGGTAGGTACTTTGGAAATACAGGCTAAGCAAAACAGTAAGGCAGCTGATTTTCCAGAGAGAAATGGGCAAAGAGGCAGCTGGGAGGAGCCCACCTGAGATCAGAACAAATCTCAAACGCTGACCGCAGGAACTATGCCTTCAAAGGAACACAAACTTGATTGGATTGGCCTATACAATAATATATGTCCTAGTGTATACTCTAGGGCAGTGGTCGGTAAACTGCGGCTCACGATCCACATGAGGCTCTTTGGCCCCTTGAGTGTGGCTCTTCCACAAAATACCACGTGCGGGCGCGCACGTTCAATGCG